GAGTTTTAAAAGTATAAAGAGGTTCTGCATCAGAAAGTTTGGGAACTACTGATCCAGCCTGGCTCTCCCCTCTCTTCCCACCAGCCACCCCATTACCTCTTTTATCAGAGGGTCCACTGGGCAGGTTTAGACATGGGGAGGGGCCTTGTGTCTAGGTCCAGCAGTTGGGGCTGGGATCTGAGGTCTTGCTGAGGGATAACACTAAGAGGGCAGGCCTACTCCCCACTTGGAGGGCATCCCCACTTGTCAACCAGCTTGAAAACTCCTGTTCAGAGGTCTGCTCAAGACCACAGGGCTGCCCAAAACCAGACTCTGACCTTCGCCCCCTTCTTCCTCTCCAGACTCCAGACGGCTGCTGACAAGCCCCGTGTGGGCGGGAGTCAGACCTCCCTGTGAAGGGAGACAGCCCCCTGGGGCCTGGACAGCCATGAGGCTTTTTGTGTCTGGTCACCAGAGTTTAGAGGACTGGAAGTGGGAGAATCTAGTGCAATCTTAGGGTGAGGCCATCTGCACAGAATGAGAGCGCTGATAGGAGAGGAGTGGCTCTTGAGGTTTTCCCAGAGATGGGTCACAGGGTCTTACCTTCCCCTAAAGATAGAGTCTTACACAGCCCCGCAGCAGGATGCTCACCCTCCCCTCAGACTGAGCAAGCGAAATGGTTTTCTACTCAGAGTCCAGTTGGAAAGAAGCCACTCTGAGCCCAGGAGCCAAGCTCTTTGCTGGGTGCCCAGAGGTCCAGGGAGAAAAGAGACGTCTTTGCTCCAGGCAAAGTCCCCAGCCTGACAGGAGCATGGATGGGTCCTACCCTACAGGAGCCCACAGGCTAATGAAGGAGACAGGATGTCCCCAGCAACATCACCATGCCCGGAGCACCCTGGGCAAAGTCATCAACAGGGGACACAAGCCAGAGGGCAGAGAGGCCAACAGGAGGCTGGGGGTGTGCAGGCAGGCTGGGAGTTGGACTAGCCCTGCATTTGCTGCTGCATCCCCCAAGCCTGAAGAATGCAGTCCCAAAAGATGGGGGTGCTGGAGGGGAGGGGAGAAAGGCCGTGACTGGGAAACTCTCACTGATGCCAATGGGGCGACTGGGTGGGGGAGAGACAGGGTAAGACAGGTGCTTCACAAAGACAACCCCAGGGCTAATTCCACGGTGGAGTAAGGGGGAGGGATCGAAAAGATGGAGAGAAAGGCAAGGACATTAAGGAGGTTGCTGTGGACACCCAGGCCGATGGGATGGATGGGCTGAGCTGGGGGTGGGAGAGGAGGATCAGACCTGGCAGGAGCAAGGAAGGCAGGGCCATGCAGGAAGCAGAGGGGAGTGGGGTAGAGAGAAGCTGGTGTCTTTGGCTGAAGCAGAGGGGTAGCTGAGAATGGGGGGAAGGTTATTTGGGGGACACTTGCTGAGTCTGAATTGAAGTCAGAACACTCATTTGGTAAAAACCCATGGGAAGAACAGGCTACAGGTGTGGAGCAGCAACCTCAGGTGACGGCCAGCCTGTTAAAGACAGACACCTCACCTGACTACCTGACCTTCCCTTCACCTGGCCCAACTGCAGACGGAACCTCAGAAAAACCACAGTGGGGCTGGAGGGGGCAGGGGGCGGGGCCAAGGCTTGGGAGCCAGGAAAGATGATGCAGGAGTGTCAGAAGGTGGGAGAAGCTCAGTTGCACTCAACTGCATTTTTCCACGCCAGCCACCATACCAGGCCCTTTCCAAATATTGACTCTTTTAATCCTCGCGGCCATTGTTGGCCCCATTGTAAGGAAGAGCAGACCTGTGGTAGCTGCAGAGTGGCAAAACGAGGGCCGTGCCCACTGTCTCAGAAAGGAGGGAGGCCTGAGGATTGCAATGCACCATTGTTACACCAGCAGAGACCCTGACAGGTGTCGCAAAGTCCCAAGTCTTGGAACTTCAAGGCTCCTCTTGGAAGCCTTGTTGGGGTGGGGGTGGGGGTTTCGGGGAGAATTTTGATTTCATTTCTCAGTTTGGTTGTTGTATGTGTGCTTGTTTGTTTTGTCCAGAAGGTCATCTCCCAATCACCGTTTCAAATGCCTTCCCTTTTTTGGGGAGATGTTTCCTGGACTCTAACCTGCATCCTTCCTGCTCAGCTTCAACCCTTTGCCCAAGACTCAAGGGCCACACACATCCCTTCCACGTGACACCATTCTGGAGGTCTCCATGGCTAGTCTGGCCCTCCCAAGCCCCTGCTCCTCCAACCTCTGGCTCCAGGCCACACAGTTCAGTTCTTACTTCTCTCCCACATTCCAAAGACAGCCCCTCCCTTCCCCCCACCACCTCAAATCCAGGCTCCCAGCTGGCTGACACCCACGGGAGGGTTTTTCCCACAATCCCTTTTTCTCTGCCCTTTCAAGGTTCTGGTGGGGGAGGGGATGAAGAGGGGCCACTCAGAGGCACTCTCCCCTGGAGAACAGCGACAACGTGGAGATGAACCCAGGTGAAGGAAGGGGGCAGACAGAGGAGGCACAGCTCACTCTGAAAGGTTTCCTTCCCAGGACCTGCCCCCCAACCACGCTTCACCGGGAGCTGCAACACTGGGATTCCAAACCTCCCCCTTTCCTCCAGGCTTCCTGCGGTTCCCTCTCAATGGTGGGCCTTGGAGTCTCCTTCTTTCCGCCCCCTTTCCTGGGCCTCACTGCTGTCCTGGACAGCTTGGCCTCAGCTAGGCAGTAGCACGGACCAGTCAGGCAAGAGGAGAATCTAGGCTGGGGAGCGGAGGGAGGGTGAAGAGTTTTTCTTCTGTCCTAAATAACCTTTGGCAGGAAAGTTTAGGGGTTCCATTGCCCAATATCTCTTTCCCTCTCACCCAGTGCTAGGGGCCTCTAACTTTTTATCTTGTGTAGAAACCAAGCATTTTCCTAGGAGGCCCAGGAACCTCCTTTGAGGAAATGGCTCTTTCTGCATAACCCACCCTCTAGACCCCGGAAACCTGTCATCCCACCAACCCCAGGCTGACTCCAGAGGACTTTTCTGGAGCCCACCCAGGTCCTAGCATTCTGACCTTTCTGGTCCCAAAGGAGGGAGAAGGGAAGGAAGGCCCCTGGGTCTTCTGCCAGTCACTCCGCTTCTGGCCCAAGCCAACAGAGCTGGAGCTGTAAATGAGCTCATGCACAGTGGAGCAGGTGGGGAATGCCAGGGAGCAGACAAGTAATCCACCCACCCAAACACATGCACCCAGAGACGGGATGTGGGGGAGACACAACTTTTCTTCAGGGTAGAGGGCAGCAGCGAGAGTGTGCATTACAGCCACAGAAGGAATGGGACCATACCCCTACCCCCCACCCCCCAATCACTGGAGTCATTGCTATTTGATATCCGCTGAGACAACTTGGCTGCTCTGGGCACTGGGTAGGGGGTGGGGGGATGGCTCAGAAAACAGCAGTTCCTTTCAGGACCCAGGTTGGCAAGGGCTTTGGGAGGCTGGACTGGCCCAGATCACCCCCAGCTCCCCCTCCCTCCCTCTCTCCCTCCCTCACCACTACCAAAGAACTGATTGGGTGGGGGGATGCGGGCAAAAGGAGTTGGCACTGCGTGGGCCATGCCCATTGCCTCTGCAGTCCAGCCCTGGACCTCTCCCTGGCCTGATGCCTTCCCTCCCCCTCCCCCCTATTTCCTCCTCCCTGAAGAGCCAGCTAGGAGTCAGAACACCTGGTTCCTTCTAGACTCGGTCCCCCCTACCCAGTCTAAGCCCCGAGGAATTAATGAGCCCTACCCCTTGGCACAGGATGGAACTGGGAACATGTTCAAAACTCCTGGGACATTAGGAAGATGGTTTCAGGATGGAACTAAATTGTAGGTCATGGTAGCTGTTGGCGGGTTTCTCAATAACCACTCTCAGCACTCTTGAACAAGGTTATCCCCATCCCACCCCCCAGGAGAGCACCAGATCTGCCATCATCATCTCCCTCCTCTCCAAACTGTCTAAAGCAGTCCCCATGGGGAGAAATAAAATTCAAACTCCAAAGCAACAGCAGCCTGGACAGAGCTCTCTAGTCAGAATTTGCATTGATAAGCAAGGTAATTGGAATTTAAAGGTCCAGATTTATACCAGCTTCACCACTCCCACTTCCCCTGTCTGCCTCTGCCTGCTTGGGGCACTTCATTTACTGCAAGAAAATAAGAAACCAGCTGCCCCAGCCCCACATTCTACTAGTTTTGCCCTTCTACCCATCCTGGGGCTCAGTTCTCCTTCCCCGAAACAGGAAGTTCCAACCTTCGTCTCTTTCCTAGCACAAGTGCCCTTGGTTAGTTCCTGGTACGAGGGAGGGATAGAAAGGGAAGGGGCATCCAGTCTGAGGGTGAATTTGCAGATCCCAGCCTACCACCCTAAGCCTGCAGGGGTGGCTCAGCTCCTCCCCTCCTGGGAATCTCAGAGTGCAAGAGCTGAGGTGGGGTAGACTGATGGGGAGGGGTCTCTTGAAGTGGGACCCAAGTCAGAATGGAAGAAAGAAAATGAGTGAGTGGGTTCCAAGGCACATCATATCCTACTGCAGCTCCCTAAGCTAAGCTAGTAGTACGTGCCCTCCCCCACCATGTGTGAATCGACAATTAGCAGGTGCATTATGTGTGTCACTGTATTGGGGAGGAGGGAGGGGCTGGGCATGGGAGCAACCTGTCCATCCTGGACGAGGGGGCAGTCCCGTGTGCCTGTGTGAGGGATGCATGGCTGCGTGTGGTCTCACTTGCACTAACTGGAGGAGCAGTGATACACCCGCAAGTCTGGGCTGGGGAGGGGAGGGAAGCCACTTCCTTAGATTAAGAGGGCTGACATGACTTGCCTGGGTAGAGTTCCCATCGTGGGGTGACCTTCCCAGGACGGTCCGTTTGGGGTTGCTCAAAGCATGAGGCCAGAGGGCAGGCCCTTCTGCTGACACTAGCCAGGGTAGGGGCCAAGGGGCTGGGGCCTCACAGTGTCTGGAGAGTTAAGTGGACAGGGCTACAGCCGGAGAGGCAGCACTCCAGCATCAGGGTCGGGTCTTACCTTGGGTCCAAGGCGGAGGGGCTCCTCAGATGAGCCGTGGGGCAGCGGGACGGATGGACGGATAGGGGGTGAAGAGCGGAGCCGTGCGACGGGCAGGGCCAAGAGTCTTAAACCCGGAGCTGGGATCAGATAAGGGCTTGTCCGGGGGCCGGGGCCGGGGTCGGGCCGGCCGGGGGGCAGAGCTGGGCCGGGCCGGGCCGCCCCCTCCCTCCGCAGCGCCGGAGCCAAACTTTGTTGAATGGAGGGGCCCGCGGTGGGGGGCCGGGCGGGCGTGGGCGGGGGGCTCCGGCAGACCAATGGGAGAGTGGAGCGCCAGGCCCGAGCGGCCAGGATTGGCGGCGCTGGGGCGGGGGGCGGGGCGTAGGGGGCGAGGAAGCGGAGACCCAGACAGATGGAGGCGCAGAAAGAGTGGAAGACAGAGACCCAGACAGAGTCCGGGAGAACGCGAGATGAAGAGGCGATACGCGAGCGATAGGAGCCGAGCTGGCACGACGACAGGGCGGGAGAGGAAAGCAGAGTCAGAGACCGGGGCGGGGCTGGGGCCGTCTCCATGGGGTAGAAATGAATTCAGGGAGCGCCCGGGGGGCGCTGCGGGCTGCGCGCGAGGCGGCGCCCGGGAGTGGGACGGGGGCTGCAGCTCTGCACCAATCAGCGCTCCTCGCGCGTAGTTTGTTCACCGTTTTCTGAGTAGTACCGGGTCCAAGTAGGTGCCAAGGCCACGCCTGCAGCAGCTGGTGGCGATGGAAAAATGAGCCCCGGCGGGCGGCTAAGGGCGGGAGCCGCTCCACGGCTGCAGAGAGGGAAAGGGCGCTCTAGTTAGGGGGCGCCGGGCAGACGCAGGTGACAGCCGCAAGGGCGCCAACGGATGCAGAGACTCCAGCTATTGAAAGCAGAGGGAATAGCAAGAGCAAAGTCCCTGGGAGCAGCAAGAAATCATCCCTTGGACCCGCGTCCAGCTCGGTGGTTCTCCACCTTTTCGTCGCCAGGGGCTTCCCTCATTCCCTGCACCATGTTTCGAGAGGCTTTTATCCATAATCTTCTCCCTCCACTGAGCATCTACTAAGGAAGAAAGTAATGATTTTCTCATTCCTCATCACAAACATTTAAGTACTAATCAATAACCAGTGTTAACCATATTGAGTTGATGTAAAACCAGGTACAAAAGCAAAGAAACTAGAACATTTAGATTAGTTTAACCTCCAAAAGCCATCAAATGGGCCAGTGTACCGTTCAAAGAGGGGAGGACTAGAATGCAGCCAGGGGAGTTTGGGGCAGGGGGGTGGAAAGCCAGATACAGTCATGCTCCAAGGTCAGGCCAGAGTTTCCACAGGCACTGGAGAGCAACTGAAGGTTCCTAGGCAGTAGGGAGACAAAGCCATAGCAGAATCTTAGGAAAAATCAGCTACATGTGAGTAAGATGGTTTGGAAAACATAGCACAAAGAGATAAGTGCCCAAGTAACTGTGGTCACAGCAAAAAGGGGCAGAGAAAGTGGATTCAAGTACAGAAAAGCCAAAATTAAAAGACTTTGAGATTAACTTGATGTGATGAGCAAAGGAAGAAACCTTCTGAGATCACACCAGGGTCTCAAGCCTAGGGATAGTTCTACATGGTTATTAAGGAGCACAGGGAGTCCAGGGGAGCAGCCAGCCTGCTGAGACCGAGTTGTGGTAGAGGAGGTGATGAGGTCAGAGGGGGACACTGGCTGCCAGGGCAGGGTGAGTTGAAGCCATGGGAGCAGGGAGGCTCCCAACACAGACTCTGCACAGAGAAAGGAGAGCCTGGCCAGGAGGGCAAAGAACACCTGCATTTGGAGGATGGGGAGAAGAAAGACCCCCACCCCCCAAACACACACACACATACACATTACAAAGAGTGACAGAGAATCTACCTGTCAGGCAGCAAGGAGACAAAGAGTAGGATGTCACAAGAGCCAAGGAAGAAGAGCCTGTCGATGATCTAACAGTATCAGCAGGCGCAGTGAGAAAAGGCATTGAACTTGGCAATGAAAAAAGTCGCTAGTGACATTTGAAAGCCATTTCAGAAGAATGGTCAAGGTGGGAACCATTAGAAAGTGAGAAAATGCTCTGCTGTGGCCCGGGAAGGCAGTGGAGGATGGCCCAAGTCCTTGGGCCCTGCACCCCATGGGAGACCAGGAGAAGCACCTGGCTCCTGCCTTCGGATCAGCGCGATGCGCCGGCCACAGTGCGCCAGCCGTGGCGGCCATTGGAGGGTGAACCAATGGCAAAAGGAAGACCTTTCTCTCTGTCTCTCTCTCTCTCACTATCCACTCTGCCTGTCAAAAAAAAAAAAAAAAAGTGAGAAAAATGTTAAAGAGAGTGATAGCATATAAGGGATAACAAAAACTTGATATAAAATATGTATTATAAAAGCAATGAATGGATTTCATAGGTTTTGCATAAAATAAACTTGTGATTCCATTTTCCACAAACTTTAAAGCACCTTGTATAGATTATCCTTTTGATAACTTTACTCAGAAAGGAAAGAAATACTATGGAAGTAGAACAATGTCCTAGAAACTATGACCCAACTGATCTTCAAGCCCCCAGTATCCCTGCTCCTATGTCAATACAGATGAGAGGTTGTGGTCAGATGGTCTCAGGGTCACCCTGCAAGGCTGGTGTAAGACCTGGAAGGTAATGGGAAAAGGCTGTCTAAAGGATTCCTAAGAACAGTCTTGACATTCACAGCCAAAAAGAATATAGAGACTCTGATCAAATTCCAAAATAAGGGGCTGGCATTGTGGTGTAGTGGATAAAGCTGCCATTTGTGACCTTGGCATTCCTTACGGGTGTCAGTTCATGTCCCAGCTGCTCCACTCCTGATCCAGTTCCCTGCTAATAGCCTGGGAAAAACAGAGGAAGATGGCCCAAGTCTTTGGGCCCCTGTACCTATATGGGAGACCCGGAAGAAGCTCCTGCTTCCTGGCTTCAGATCAGCACAGCTCTGGTAGTTGTGGCCATTTGGGGAATGAACCAGTAGATGGAAGAAACCTCTCTTTCTCCATCTCTCTCTCCCTCTCTCTCTGCCTCTCTCTCTCTCTCCCTCTCTCTCTGCCTCTCTGTAACTCTGCTTTATATTGTGTGTCTCCTTGTTTATTTTCAGATTTGTCCCACAATCATTTAGGATGTTGGTACTTTCTTTAAAAAAAAATTTATTTGTAAGGCAGAGTTACAGAGAGGCAGAGGGGAAGAGAGAGAGAGAGAATCTTCCATCGGCTGGTGCACTCCCCAAATGGCTACAATATCTGGAGCTGGGCTAATCCAAAGCCAGGAGCCAAGAGCTTCTTTTGGGTTTCCATGTGGATGCAGGGGCCCAAGGACTTGGGCCATCTTTCACTGCTTTCCCAGACAATAGCAGAGAGATAGATCGGAAGTGGAGCAGCCAGGTCTCGAACTGGCGCCCATATGGGATGCCAGCACTGCAGGTGGTGGCTTTACCCACTACACCACAGCACCAGCCCCACTCTACCTTGCGAATAAATAAATCAATCTTTTTTAAAAAATTCCAAAATGAACATGAAGGACACCAGAGAAGAATAGCCAAAGAGCAGCACTGACTTATGGAATTGCTAACAGACATTTATTGTGTGCTACTTTTCCAAAAACATTATCCAAGCATCAGCTTCGACTTCCACGCATGTGTCAACATCTCCAGTGTACCTGGATGTCTATTTCAAACTCAACATATTTAAGGTAGAACATGTCATCCTGCCCACAGGAGTGCTGCTCTTTGTTTACTCTCTACCACAGTGGGTGCACTACTGCCACCCAACCAGAAACATGGAGACCACCCTAGATTCATCATTCTTCTTCATCTCAGCTCCCTTACCTAATCAATGCATCTGTTTCCCAAATCACCGAACGACCACCCCACCTTTCTCTCTATCCCATGACCACTGCTGGAGTCTGGGACATCATCACCTGTCACCAGGGCTGCTGCAGCAGGCTTCTCACTCCTCTTCCAGTCTTTCTCCACTCTGATAATTCTCCATATCATGAATTCCTTGTGTAAAAATAAACACAGAGCCAATGCTGTGGCATAGCAGGTAAAGTTGCCATCTTCTGTGCTAGTATTCCATATGGGAGCCAGTTCGAGTCCTGGCTGCTTCACTTCCAATCCAGCTCTCTGCTATGGCCTGGAAAAGCAGTGAAAGATTGCCCAAGTTCGTGGGCCCCTGTGCCCACATGGGAGACATGGAAGAAGCTCCTGCTCCTGGCATCAGATCAGCCCAGCTCCAGCCATTGCGGTCATTTGGGGAGTGAACCAGTGGATGGAAGACCTCTTGTCTGTCTGTCTGTCTGTCTGTCTCTCTCTCTCTCTGCCTCTGCCTCTGCCTCTCTGTAACCCTGCCTTTTTTTTTTTTTTTTTTTTTTTTTTTTTGGACAGGCAGAGTGGACAGTGAGAGAGAGAGAGACAGAGAGAAAGGTCTTCCTTTTGCCATTGGTTCACCCTCCAATGGCCACCACGGCTGGCGCGCTGTGGCCGGCGCATCGCGCTGATCCAAAGGCAGGAGCCAGGTGCTTCTCCTGGTCTCCCATGGGGTGCAGGGCCCAAGGACTTGGGCCATCCTCCACTGCCTTCCCAGGCCACAGCAGAGAGCTGGCCTGGAAGAGGGGCAACCGGGACAGAATCCGGCGCCCCAACCAGGACTAGAACCCGGTGTGCCAGCGCCACAGGCGGAGGATTAGCCTATTGAGCCGCGGCACCAGCCTCTGCCTTTCAAATAAATAAATAAACCTTTAAAAAAAATAGTTACACACAATAGCATGTATCTCTCTGAAATACAGATCTGCCCACTTCGCTTCCCAGTTTAGAACCTCTGATCACTGCCAGTTGTCTGTAAGTCAACTCCAAGTTCCTTCACACGGAACAGAAGGCCCATTATAACCTGGACCTGATGCCTTTGCAAGCCATCTTCATCCACTGTGTACACATCCACACCTGTCGCCACATCCTCTTCCAATATCCAGGTTCAGTCTCATTTTCTCTTTCTCTGTCTCTTGCTCCCTGACCCTTTGTCACTCACACAGCTCCAACTGTCATTTCCAAGTGATGCCCAAGTCTCCATCCTCAGCACTACATTCTCTTTAGAGCTCCAATTCCATGGTTCAGTCACCTTCAGGGGATTTCCACTCCTACTTGCAAAGTCCACACAGAATTCATCGTCTTCCTCCCCCCAGCTGGGAGAGCTCGTGACTTCCTAATGTTTGTGTTACTC